TTTTGTTTATATCTTGAACAGAGCTATTGGTTTTGTTTGTATCTTAAGAGTGCTAGAACATCTGTCGGACTTCAACACTTTGTCTTTGGACAGGGATATTTTCCTTTGTCCTGAAGCAAAAGGCCTGGATTCTCTGCAGAAAACTCTTTATTTGTTAGAAGTTTGTGTATTCAGGAGATGCAGTCATCAATACTTCTCACTGTATCTTTCATTTTACCTGCTTGATACTTTTCCTTATGACAGAAGGACCACTGTGAGCTGGTGCTAATTCCATCAACGTAATGCATTGCTGAATTAGTATGTGTTTGCATTTTACTTTAAGCTGAACTACTTTCTTCAGATTCCTTGCAGAGACTCAAGGAGGTTCCACACAGAGGCTACTCAAAGAGGCTCATGTGTAGCTCCTCAGATCACTTGCAGCTGTTCCAACTTATTCAGCCAATTAGACTAAATAGTCATTTCACTGTTCAGGTCAACTACAGCTGTTTTAATGCCTGTGGGTAATTCTCCTGGCTGTTGCTAACTCCAAGGGTATACAAAGGTGCCTTAACTGGTATCTTAATTTTGTATGTCTTGAGGGGAGGGTGTGGTGGTTCTTTTTTGTTGTTTGTTTGTTTTTGTTGAGCCCGACAGGTTAAAAAAAAACATTAAGTACTGCTGGGTAACCTGTACCACATGAATTATTTACTTTTGCAGTTGTGATTTAAAGCTTCCAAGTTCTTAGGTACTGTGCAGGATGACTGGATTTCTTTTTGTAGTAATCAATTTTGATCTTAAGTTGAGAAATACTGTTGAATAGTATAGTTAATTGGGCTAAGACTCCAAATATTTAGTGTCTGTAGTCACCTAAAACAGCTCAGTTTTGAGATACGTGAACTTCTAGGAGGGCCTGGATTATGTTCTTACACTGGGTTTGTGGCTCAGTGTTACTTTATGAGGTTTTGCTTGCAGTATTTATGTGACCATGTATTTTGCTGAGGGTAAAGTTTGGCTATTTAGTAGCAGCTGTAGCATTCATCGTCAAATTAAGTTTTTAATTGGACATAGGAAACCTATTTCTTCTGTGGGAGAAAAAAACCCTGAAACCCTGCAGGCTCAATATGTACTTGTGGATGTTCTCTCTGATATTAACCTTAGTGTTTTTCTATGCTGTGAGCAGTGGAATATATTAATAGTTTCATATAGGTTATAGCTGAGATTAAATGCAGGATTTTTAATGCATGTTACGAAAAATTCTTTTGCTTGTTGGCCTTATTAAATCAAGTACATTGAGTGAAGGGCTTTCAGCCCCTGGGCTCTGTTTGTCCTGTGGAGCTCAACATGTAAAGTTACCTGCTGTAAAGAGTATATTCAGAGTCAAATGCTTATAGCTGACTTCACAGAATGTAATTCTGAAGTTACGCAGCACTGAAACCTCTATTAGAGAATCAGTATAAGCTAGCTCTTAAAAAAAAACACAAAACAAAACAACAACAAAAAGACGAAAACAGAACCCTGTAACTCTTTCTGATAGTATAAAATAACAAGTAGGCTTTTATTCAGCTACAGAAGTCTGTGTGACAATTGAGTATAAGTGATAATGGTGGTGGTGATTATTGTTAAATGCTTTTTTTGCAAAACTATTCTTCTAAAGAGAACAAAAATAAGATTAAAACCCCTAGTCTAATGTACTTTCATGTAACATTTTTTTTTCCAAGCTGTCACAGTTTCTCTCTGCTGGTAAACTATATTAAAAGACTTCTGCGCTTAGACTTAGTATTCAGAGAGTAAAACGTTACTTGCCAGCATGTGAAAACAAATTGAAAGCTAAAGCCAGATACATAATGTCTTCAAACATTTGTTGAGTTCCTGGGTTGTTTTAGAATCATGCAATGCCAGGATACAATTTAAGCTAGTTCTCCTAGGTTACTGTGTGTTCAATCTTTGTAGTAGGACCACTCTGACCCGTTTTGTTAAATAACAAGTCACGCGTATCCACGTCATTTTTTTTTTTTTTTTTTTTAAAATTGTGCTACTGAGTTGTTCCTTACTGAGTAAGTAAGTGGAGGTACAGAGTCTTAATGTAGGTGTTGTGGCTTCTGGGTGCTCTCTTTCTCCTATAAACAAGTGCTGTTACCCCATCTTTTGACTTTAAGACTGTGGTGGCTTATCCTTGGCTAGCAGCGAGATGCCCATCCAGCCACTCACTCCTCTTCAACAGGATGGGGGAGAAAATAGAATGGACAAGCTTGTGGTTCAGGTTGAGGCAGGAGGGTTGCTTACCGGTCACCATCATGGGAAAACCAGACTCAACCTGGGGAAAATGAATTTTATTTGCTGCTAATTAAAATTGATTTTGATAGAGAGAAACAAAGACAAAAAATTTAAACAAGACCTTCCCCTACATTTGCATCTTTTCTAGATTCAACTTCACCCCTTCTTTCCTGACTCCTCTACCTCCTTCTCTGTGAGCAGCACGGGGAGATGGGGAATGGGGGTTGTTGTCAGTCCATAACACTTTATCTCTGCTGCTCCTTCCGCCTCATACTTCACCCCTGCTCTAGCGTGGAGTCAATCCTATGAGCTGAAGTTCCTTCAGGAAATACCCATCTGCTCTGGTATAGGATCCTCCACAGGCTGCAATGTGGACATCTATTCTGCCATGGAGCACCTCCTCTCCCTCCTTCTCTGACCTTGGTGTTTGCACTGCTGTTTCACACTTTTTCTCTCTGCCTGTCAGGCATTTTCGTCCTTTCTTAAATAGGGTTTCCTAGAGGCACCACCGTCTTGGCTGCTGGCTTCAGCCGTGCCCTGCAGTGGGTCCGTTGGAGCCAGCTGGAATGGCCGTGTCCAGTACTGGGCAGCCCTGGCCTGTCCTCAATGGAGACCACCCTGCAGCCCCCCGCTGCCAGCACCTGGGCATCTGCACCTAGTACAACCTAGAGGTGTCTGTTAGCACTTCAGTCACTCTAAGGAACTTCCGAGTTAACTTTTTGCTTAATGAGTAGTGTTCTAATTGGCTTTGCTCTTGTTACTCCAAGCCTAATGCTGGCGTGTTCTTATTGCTCTTTGTTACTACATCTACATGTTGTATCTTCAGATTCAGCTGCAGTGCTGGGGCAAGAAAACATCAACTAGTTACAAAATAAAATAGACCTTTTTCTTTTTTTTACCTTTAATCTACAGCAGTTTTATATGTAAGGGCTATTTTCAGCAGTAGTAGACCCTTCAAAAAGAAAGGAGCGGGTGGGAGGTGGTATTGGCAAGTAGGAAAATATTGTTTTGAAGTGAATAAGGTTATTTATGAAGGGGAGAGTGTCCCCTTCTTTAAGAGTATTGGGTCAAGGACCTTCTTTGATATGAAAACGAGATAATAGAGGAGGCTTCCCTGAGACATTCTGACAGCCTTCCAGTACTTAAAGGAGGCCTACAGGAAAGCTGGAGAAGGACCTTTTACAAGGGTATTGTTACCCAACAATGAAGGGGTTAAAGTTTTTGTGTAAGAGTTTCATGAAGGGTTTAGTCAGCAGTAGGTGATTTATGCATGCCTAAAGAAACTAACAAGATGTCCATCCTTGAAGCTGTCAGGAGTGATTAAAAAGGAGACTCTTTGAACTGTCTGCCCTTGGAGGGAACATCCCAGAAACTGCATAAACTTTGTTCTCATGCTTTTCTGAACTGTGAACATGCAGTGACTTGGGGGAAAAGGTAATTCTGGCAGGGGGAGATTGCGACCACCGACTCATGAATCACCTACCCTAAATACACCCCAGACCCAAAAGAAAGGGGCGGAGGAAGAGAACTGAGCATGCAAAATAATGTACATGTAAAGTGAGAGAAAATTAACCAATTGTTTAAAAATATGTAAATATGCTATGAATTATGCATGATTGTAATGTATAACTAATTTTCTGTTCAGAAGCTGAGTATGCACGCTAGGAGGAGAAATCCCCCGTGCACTCAGCGCTGCAATAAAGAATGCCTGCTTTCTAAAACTCCAAAACGAGTCTTGGAAAGTTCAGTTTCCTTTTCGGGTATCAGTATGTAGTGATAGGACAAGGGACAATGGCTTTAAATTGAAAGAGGGCAGATTTAGATTAGATCTAAGGAAGAAATTTTTCACTCTGAGGGTGGTGAGACACTAGAACAGGTTGCCCAGAGAAGTTGTGGATGCTCCATTCCTGGCCAGACTGGATAAGGCTTTGGGCAACCTGGTCTAGTGGAAGGTGTCCCTGCCCATGGCAGGGGGGCTGGAACTAGATGATCTTTAAGGTCCTTTCCAATCCAAACCCTTCTGTAATTCTATGATTCTGTAATAAAAAAAGGAGGAAGCGATAAACAAAATGTACAGGGACCCAAACCGGACAGGCAGTGATGAGAACCAAACCTGGCCACTGATTAGTGAGGGTGTGTGGGGGTGTGGGAATGTTGGGGACCTTCTTCTGGGAAACTAAGGAAAAAAGGCAAAAATCAAAACCAAAAATACATCGACCTAAGAAAACAAAAATGGAGGCAATGGCAATAAACGAAAGCTGCTGGTCACACTAACTGATGGGCTGTCAAGAAACCACAGGCACCGCTTCCGGGAAGATTGGCCTTTGCATCTGATAAGGCTGTAAACAAGGTGGGGATCCCAGACACCAGGCTGGGAGGGGTGCAGCAGGGGAAGGGGAGCAGGGAGGGACAAAACTGGGATAGGCAGAAAGAGGGACTGGTGGTGTGTAAAACTGGACGTCAGTACGCTTTGTCTGACTGAGCCTTTTGCCCTATTGCCACATGCCACAATCTGTCCTATATTGCTGCATCTTCTTATTAAATCTTTTCTTAATTTTCTCTGCATGATCTCGCTCTGCCTCATGTTACGTGCATGCTGTGAGGATGGAGTGCCAGCTACTGATGAGAGCTATATGTGTGAGCGGATGGGGTGGCAGCTACTTGGAGGGGTGGGGGGATGTCTCAGTGCCAGCTACTCACATGGGTGGGGGTAAGATTTGGCTAATCGTACTCTTCTTTCTTTCCTGGCAGCCGATTTATTTTGCACATTCCAAGTGAAGAGAGAGACAATGCAATCAGAGTGTGTTTTCAGATTGAGCTTGCCCATTGGTTTTACTTGGATTTCTACATGCAAAACACACCAGGATTACCTCAGTGTGGGATAAGAGACTTTGCTAAAGCTGATATCCTTTTTGTTATTGTGACTGTTTTCTGTCTCAGTGAGTAAAGTGCAAACTGAATATTATTAATCAAATTTCATACTTGCAGCGGGAAAGTGTGAGGTCATGTGTTAGTGATTAGAAGTTAGTTTTGTCATTTTTACGTGTTCATTGCTTCAATTAATTTGTTGCATCCACAAAAGAGATGTTTCTCACACTGCTAAAAAACTATGGAAAACAGGTAATTTCTGATCTTTGAAGATTTTTCCTTATAGTTGCGCTTTGACAGACTAGATGGGTTTCAAAGCTTTTCAAAGTTGGAGCTCTTCATAGTGTTTTGTCTCCTTAATTTAATCCCTTTCCAAGTAAATAGTAACATAAATGTTAATGTAGCTGAAGGTGGTGGGGTGTGTTGCCCCATGTGCAGTGGCATGTGTTTGTTCGAAGTATTGGCAGTTGCTCCTAGAAACAGTTCTGTTGGTAGGGGAGAGGATGTGTTTTTACTGAATTCATACAGTTGGCCTCTGCTTTTTTTTCTTTGCTTACATTCTTTGCTGCTGGAACGTACTCTATCTAGTTCTGGCTGGAGAAAAACTTGCGGCTTTCATCCAGCATGTGTTTTGTTTTAAGTTTTCGCTTACGTTCTTGATGTGGGATTGGGATATTGCTTCTAACTTTCATGATAATTTTATCTGTGGCTTCACTACACAACGTACTTCTCAGTTTAGTGACAGAGATTTACTTCGAAATGCTACAGCTTTAACAGTAAACTATTAAATTGTGCTAATTTTCTGTTGCTTGATAGTATGCAGGTTTTTTTATTATTTCAGGTATGTTTTTAATTATAAATGTTTCTTCAGACCAATAGAATTCTAGTAATTGTAGACAATGCTGGAAAAACACATTGTAATAGGTGTTATTTGTTCGTTACATCTGTCCCTCTCCAGCTCACATGTGTCAGAAATATTAGTTCTGCTGCAGTGGCATATTTTTAAGTACTTTGCTATGGAATATTTTTTTATTGGTAAGTTGATTTTATATTGTGATGGTTGCATGTGGTGGGGAGAGGTTCTGGTGGCAGGAGCTGGGCACCAGATTGGACTCCCATCCCCCTCGAGGTTTAAGCCAATCGATGCCTCTGCGAATCACCCTATTTACGTTGGGACGAAGGAACCGGAAAGGTGTGCCTTTGCCCAGGAGAGGGGAGGGGGGCGCTGCCCCCGCTCCTCAGCTCCCGGCTGGATGGCTGCCCGCATCGGGCCAGCGCCACCCACTGAGGATGGCGGCGGCAGAGCCGCTTGGGGAACTCAGGGAGCGCCCCGTTCCCGGGGTTCCCACCGGGCCGAGTTCACCCAGAGAGGACTGAGATCTGAGAGAAACGACCACACCAACACCGGGTCAGTGAACATGGAACGGGAGGAGGTGTGCTGGAGCTGAGTTTCCCCTGCAGCCAGTGGCGAGATGGCAAGCGGCCCCTTGCAGCCAGGACGGTCTCGGTGGAGCAGAGACCCACTCGCAGCCTGTGGAGAACACACATTGGAGAAGAGATGCTTGGGCCTGAGGACGGTACGCATCTAGAGTCCGTAGGATGACCCCCGTCGGTGGGGAGGTGTTTTGTTTAGAGGAGATGCCTGAGCCTGAGGACAGTCGTGAAGCATGGGCACAGGTAGAGATGCATTTAAAGTCTATATGACAACCCACGCCGGAGCGAGTGGCAACAACCCCCTAAGAATCCGAGACTGTGGTAAAGCCCTCACTGGAGCAATCCGATGGGGAAGGATTGCATCCTGGGGGTAGGACTCACACTGGAGGAGTTTGTGGATTTTCCTCGTGAGTAGGGGATCCACTGGAGCAAGGGAAAATGGTGTAAGGATTCCTTCTCCTTTAAGAAAGGAGCAGCAGTAACAACATGGGATGAACTGACTTGCACTCCCCCGTTCTCTGCCCCCCTGTACTGCTGGGGGGAGGAGGTAGAGCCGGGAAGAAAAGGAAAGGGGGGTGGAGAGGTGTTGTTTTTAGGATCTGGCTTTGTTTTCTTTTTATGCTCTTAAGTAACTAGTTTTGCTTGTCTTTATTCTTTTAAGTAACTGTTAAATTGTTTTGCTTTCAGAAAGCTGAGTCTGTTTTGCCTGGGACCATGGTTGGTGGGTGCTCCCTCTGTTCTTGCCTCGACCCTCAGTTCTTTTATTTTTTTTTTCCTCCTCCTCTCAACTGGAGAATGAGTGAGAGAGTGGCTGTGTGGAGTTTAGTTGTCAGATTGGCCTAAACCACAACAGTCCTTTTTGGCACTCAATGTGGGGCTGAGGAATTCGAGATAAGAATAGTGACTGGAAGAGATAACGGGCAAAACATGGACTCCACAGTGGTGAAAAACAGAAGGACCTTGGGAAACTTAGATTGTTGTGACTGGTGAAGGGACAAGAGGTCCACGACTGTCCTTACGATTTGTACTTGGACTTAAGATTGAGGGCCAAACTGGCCAATTAGTATTCCATATCATGCCGCGTCATGCCCAGTATAAAAGTGAGGGTCAGCCAGAGAGAAGGGCTTTTTGCCCTTCCGGGACTCTCACTTTCGGACTCTCAGAGTGCTCTCTCACTCTCTGTCTCGGGGCCTCCCGTTCATCTGGCATTGCAGTATTGGGTTTTATCTGTTTTGGGATTGCAGCTTCGGGACGAGACGGGCCTCAGTCAAGGGGTGGTGAGCAATTACACCGTACATCACTCGTTTGCATATGTTTATCCTTGTGCGTATCCGTACATATATATATTGGTAGTGGTAGTAGTAAATTGTTCTTATCTCAACCCACGGGTCTCTTTTCTTTTTCTTCTTTGATTCTCTCCCTCATCCCTGGGGATGGGGGAGTGAACGACTGTGTACAGTTTGGTTGCTGGAACGGCCTAACTCCATGGCATATATATTATACATAATATTAATACTTAATAATTAAGTACTTCTAGATTTACTTTGAAAGTTTGAGTTATAGAGATTGTTCATGTTTTCTCTGCATGGTGAATTTTGGTTAAGTGTATCAGAATTTAGATCTCTGTAACCTGATGCCATTAAAATTATTTTTTTTGCATAGTAAATACTTAAGTACAGCTCCCGTACCATAGTCTAAAAATGACTGTGGGAAAAGTTTATCTCCACTTACTTCAAGCAGGAGATGAAACTGTATTTTTGTCTGTCTCCCTTCAGAATGAAAAAAAATGTGGTTAAGAATAGTACATATTCAAAACAATGTTATGCAAATACTTTTTCTTCAAAATTAGGGGAGACCTCCCTTCAAACAAGCAGCCTTGTCTTTTTTTTTTTTGTTTAAATTGTCTTGTATTAGCGTTACCAAGTTACTCGATGCTTTCTGACCTTCAGAATTTGGTAATGGATTATTCAAAATATTGTTTTACTTCCAAGAGAATGTATCTTGAAAGCACTTAGGGAGTGTGGTTACTGTAAATGTTAGTGAGTATCTTTTGTGTGTCTGCCTGTGATTTGAAACTGGATGCTGAAGTTTATCTTCCTTAACATGCTGCTATACTCTTCAATCACTGCCCTTTTTTACTTCCTCAAGGGGAAGATGTACAAAAGGTTTTAGAGGAGTGGAAAGAATACAAAATGGGAGTGCCAACCTATGGTGCAATTATTCTCGATGAGACACTTGAAAATGTAAGTATGGGAATAGTTGTGCAGGGCTGGAGGGAAGGATGGCATATGCTGGCAGAAGTAATCTTTTTTTGTTTACATTTTTCATCTGGAGGGGAAAAAAAAAGTAGTGCTTCAGATTCACAAAGACCTGACAGTTACTTGACACTATTGAGTGTGTACAGAAATACAGTGTGAGAGACAGTAAACGTACTTGTGCCTGCTTTCCTACTCAGTTTTGTTGTTGTTGTTGTGTTTTTTTTGTCATTCTGAGTTGCATGATCCCATAAAAAATTTTGTGGTTCTTGCTAGAACATAGAAAATCTAATGGTTTCCTTCCTCCAGGTTAAAGTATCTTTTTGGAGAAGCAGGGCACGGTGAAGGAAAGACCCTTAACGGAAACTGGTTAGAATAATGGGTGTTTGACAGTTGCATCCCCTTGTATTTTGCAGGTTCTTTTGGTTCAGGGCTATCTAGCAAAGTCTGGTTGGGGATTTCCAAAAGGGAAAGTAAATAAAGAAGAGGCTCCTCATGACTGTGCTGCTAGAGAGGTAAGTTGTATTTGTTTGCCTTAAATCTGAGCTAATGAAATGAAGTTTTGCTGAGATCAGGGTATATGTGTTAGATGAAAAGACATTTTACTTAGGTATCTCTTTATTGAAATCAGGTAAATAACTAGTCTATTTTTGCAGGAGTCTTCTACTGTAGCTTTTAGTGCTTTTCTGAGTTCTAGAGTGATGATAAGGATGTGGTTATATAATTTAAAATCACTGTTTGATGTTTTTAATTGTTTTGCGCTAACTTGCTAAGTTGAGTGAGTACTATTTTTGAAGTTCTCTGCTGAACTATCAATTTACTCTTAAGTATTATTTTTGACACTTGGGAAATATTATGTACTTTGTGGCCTTTGGAGTATTAATTTCAAGGGCCATATTAATTGCAAAATGCAGAAGAATGAGAATTTAGCTTATATAGACTAGGCTATATAGAGAGGCTAAAGAGTTGAGGGTTGTAGAAGGTTATGTAAAAATTTTGAAAAACTTTTCTGGTTTTCAGTGATGCAAGAGCAAGGATCAATGTATATAGCAAGTAAAATCTGAAAAATAAAATAATCTATGTGATTTATTGCTGCTGGAGACCTAGATGTATAGTGAAGCTGCATATTAAAAATAGCCTGTAAAAGAGTATTACTGGTATAAACTCAATGTTCATGTCACATAATACATCTGGAATTTTTGAGAGGGAAAATTAGTATGAGGGAAAGTAGATGAATTAGTTTGCTTGATTGGACTGAATCTGAGAAATCATGGATTTTTTTTTCTAAATGTACCAGTCAAAGTTGCATGAATGAAAAATTCCATGTTTCCAATTCCCTGATGGTGCTTTCCATACCACTCATGTATGTAATATGGACTTGGAAAACCAAAATAAGACAGTAGATCTTAACATTGCACTATTATGTGATGGACACATATGAAATACACTTTAATGTTGTCAGTGTTCTCTGAGCGTAGAACATTGTTTATATAATAACAAATTGTGCTGGGTTTATGTTGTGGGATTTTGGTAGCTGCAGGGGAGGGGCTACAGAGATGGCCCCTGTAAGGAGATGCCAGAAGCTTCCTCAGCTCCAAACCTGGCTGGATCGGTCTCTGGCCAGGTTGGACCCCCCTCCCCTCTGGCCAAGGATGATCTGATCAGCACTTCTGCAAATGCCCTTGTGATGACTTGATGTAAAGGGGTTCTGGTGGCAGGAGAGGGGATTTGCTCCCTGTGACTTCCCTGGTTTTGGGACCAAGTCAGACCCGGTTCTGGCCACCAGATCGGACTCCCATCCCGCTCGGGGTTTGAGCCAGTCCACGCCTCTGTGAATTGCCCTATTTAAGTTGGGACAAAGGAACCAGAAAAGGTGCTTTGCCTGGGAGTGAGGAGAGAAGGGAGGAGGGCACTGCCCTTGCTCCCCGGCTCCCGGCTGGGGGCTGCTCATGCCGGGCCGACGCCATC